TCTACAAAATCAACCCAGGATTATTAGAAAGACACGCTTTCCCCGCCAAATATTCATAGCTTTGATTTGCTTGTCTTTTGTTGTAAGTAAAATATGTTTGTGGTTGATCAATGCTATCAGAAACGATTTCGTTTTAGTGTTTAAAGAAATAAAACCTGGGGCTCTTCTTAACACCCTGGTTCTGGGACTTTTTACCTGGGGAATGAAACTGTTCCCCGTTCAGCTGAGCAGTGCTGCAGGACAGAGAGAAATACCGTCCGCGCATGCAGGAGTCACTTGAGCCCACTGCAGATTCAATTATTTACAGAGTTGCTGTGAAATACTGCATGAACTTCAGGGACAAGTCGTACCCCTCGTGGTAAATGAAAGAAAAGCCCCGAGAGCTGGCGTGAGGCCGTGCTCGGCCGCGGGGTTACCCCCCAGCACGCTGCGGACACCGGGGGGATGCTGGGCGCCGCGGCCAAGGTAGAGGGTGCTCGGAGGGAAGGCTGTAGCAGCTGCTCGTGGGAGCTGAATGTGTGTTCAGAGCGATTATCAAGTGGCGTTTTTCCTGTTGCGAGATGGTTTCGGGGTTGATCGTATGTATTTTGGGACAGAAGGGGGATGCTTGAGGTGTCCCTGGCCCCAGCCCCCGGGCTGGGCTGCTTGCTGGTACAGTCGACGTTGCGGTGCTGCAATCCCTTCTCTCGACCCGAGCCCGCGCAGGTGCCTTGCTGCTCGTGCGACAGTTTGCGCGGTGACGCTATGTAACTGGGGACGACGTGAGCATCACGGAGGCCAGCCGCGAGCAGCAGCGGGTGTGAAGGATGATAAGCCACCCACCTGGGGACACGGCTCCTCCAAGGAGATCCAGCAGAGATGTTCTCGGCAACAGGGATGCGGTTCAAGGCATAGGATGCCCTCCATACATTTGTTTACTGCCCTGCCTACCGCTGCAGAGCGGCCGTGTCCCATCTTAGCTGTCGCAACGTACTGCAGAAGAGATTTGCTGGGTTTGCTTCCCAGTTTTTCTTTTCTGGGAGATGCTGCACCACCCGGAGCTGGGAGGAGTGGGAAGGGCCCCATTAAACTCCCCTGGTTTAATGCCACTAGTTTTTGCTGGGAGGGTACAAGGCCAGCACACCAATATCTTTACAACTGTGCTGTAAATGCACCAAATTCCCCCTCTCAAATGTGTTTTGTCGGCCTGAAGCCCCTGTCCCGCGGGAGGCCCCAGCACCGCTGCCTGCCCCGGCTGCTGTGGGTATGGAGAGAAAAAATGACCACGTATCATGTTCTTTTTGTGCCAGCCGCCTGTGTGCCTCATCAGCCTGCTCTTGCCTGGAGAGCCACAACCTTATTGTCTGGATCTTCCTTCTTTTTCCTTTTTGTTTCAGTTTGTTTTGGCTTTTTTCCTTTTTTTTTAACATCAAAGCTGCCTCTGGATGACCCAAAGGCAGCAAGACGAGCGTGCAAATTACCCCGGCCACAGAGAAAGCCTCGCTGTCCTTACGGAGTCTTTAAATTACTTCCACTGATGTGACACCATCTTCAGTTCTTCAAAAGCAAAGCCCAACCATAAACTTCAACCCATCGCTTTTATTGCATATCATTATATTTAGCAACACCAATTATAGCAGGTAATAGAGCATGGCAATTCTGCATGACAATAGCATGATATGTAGTTCTTACACTTTATTAATAAGTAACATGCTTGGCAAGAATGAAAGCACTGTTGTTTGCAAATAACGTAGCAGAAACGTCATGCTACAAGGTGCAGTCACCCAGGGTTGAGGGGCTGGATGCTGTTTAGGATTCCTGGTGTTTACATATTTCGTGCACTCGGGCAATGAGAAGCTAGGGGAGCAGTTTGGAGCAGCTTCTTGCTGGGAGCCCTGGAGTAAAGCCACAAAACCTATGGCACTGGCCAAAGCACTAACAGGGGTGCGGCATGTCCTGCTGTAAGCAGTGAAATGGGTATTTCTGCAGCGCTTTACCTGGGAACGGCAGCCATGCCCTCGGGCTGGGTCACTGGACCACGGCGCGTGGAGACCCACGTCTGTCATCTGCGTGTTTCACCTCTGCACCGCGCCACGTTCCCTGAATAGCTGTGGGCTGGGTCTACCTGGCCGAGCTGCTCTGCTTGCCCTGGCAAGGAAAGCCCTGTGCGTGCAAGCCACGTGAAGCACACGTGCTCGTTACCCTCAGACGTGCTCAAAAATCATCTGAACGTGGACAAGAGAAAGTACAAACAAGCTCCAGGCTGGCAAAGCCGGGGTCCTAGCGGCAAAGATGAGGATGGCAGGGCTGGCCCTGCAGGGAAGATACCCACAGGCCAGCTGCCATCTCCCCTTTGCCCTTTTCATCTCTGTGCCCTAGGCCAAATCAGTTAACTGCCACCCGGCATGGGACGGGTCGGCATTGCTCCCGAGCTGTGCTGTGTCGATACCTGCGCCCTACGGTCTGCGGTCCCCCAACCAGCCATCAAACGCACAAGAGATGAGATGGGCTGATTGTTCATCCTGGCAGTCAGGAACGGTGTTCTAGCACGTAGGAGTGTTGTGCTTCAGTTTTCCAGCTTCCCTTTGGGAAGTGACTGCAGCGGGAGGCAGGTTTACACATCAGCCTTTCCCATCCGTGAGCCTCCGCGAGCTGGCCTCTGCGAACCGGCACATCCACATCCAGACCCCCGCTCAGAAAACCGGAGGGGCTTGAATCTGTTGGTGTCCCTGAGAGCTAAATACCTGCTTGAACTGCCCGGGGGCAAGGCTCTGCGGAGTGTCCTGCAGCCCGGCCGGCATCACCTGGGGCTGTACACAAGAAGCGAGGCAGCCCTGGGCACCAGCTCACAGCACCCAGCCCGGCAGGGAGGGCCAGAGGGGCCGGGAAGGGATGGGAGAGCCCCGGGATAACTTCATGCCTTTTGCCAGCAGACCTGGCCAAGGGAGGCCGGTGGCTGTGGGGCTGCCAGCCTTTGCATCCAAGGTTTCCAGACTTTGTATCCATGAAGTCGGCGGGCCGCTCCTGGGGAGGCGACTAACGCTCACCCATGCCTCCCCACCGCTGCCCCCGGGAAGCCAGATTAAGGGAGGGTTCTGCTCTGTAAGCAGCAGCGGGGAGGACGCGACGGGCTACGAGCCACGGCAAGGCCACCCTGCTCTCCCCGGTCGGTACGTAAATGGCTTCCGCCCCCTCCAACTGCCTCCAGTAGGCTGGGAAGAGTAGGGGGGGAAAGCATCATCCCAGGCACCCGCGATGGGGTGGGGATCCCGGAGGGGGATGTCGGTCCTGGCCAGGAGTGTCCCAGTGCCCGAGGGTTTCAGTTTGGGACTCTGTTTGGCCAGGGCTCTCATTTTTTTTCTGATTCAAACTTGAGCAGCCTGTTAATTGTCTAATCCTGCCAGCCCCCCGCGTGGAGGCATTTAACCCCAACGCAAAGAAACGGTGCTTGTAAATGCCTGGGTATCCACGCACAGTGAGCAAACAAGCGCGATGGGCAAAGATCTCAGCTGGAAGGACAAATTATTGGGGAAAACTTCAAAAAGCTCAGCCTGAGGGCCCTCCCCCTTGCAGCTACACCAGACGGAGAGGGGAGTGCAGGTGCCGTGGCTGGAATCGATGCCTGCATTAATGCAATGAACTTTTCTCCTCCAGTTAAAGTTTTACTTTACTGGAGGAGAGCAGTGCAAAGATTAGTGGTCTTAGGCTCATCTTTTTTTTTCCCTCTTCCCCTGCAGGAAGTACATTTCGTGCCCATGTGAAGCCTGGCTGACTGAGAGCATCATCCAATGAGTCGCCGTAACTTGGCTGCTGGACCCGTCAGGATGCTTATCTGGAAGGTAATGCCAATCTGCTTCCATGCTTATCTCGAAGGTAAAAGCATTCATCAGCATTAATCACCTGCTCGGCTGATTCAGCCTCTGGCATTCAGCTGTTGGCATGTCTCCTACGGGTGCTGTCACCCGCCCTGGCCCTACAGCTCCTCCGGCTGACGATGTCCAAGCGAGACCAGCTCAGACCAGCTTTTGCAGGTGTGCAAAGTTCAGGACTACTGAGCCAGCCAAGCCAAAGGACTGTGATATTTGACAGCATCAGCAATATTTGCTAGCATTGGCAATATCTGCTAGCACCAGCAATATTTGACAGCATCAGCAATATTTGCTAGCATCGGCAATATTTGTCAGCGCAGCAATCAGCTGGTGGTGGCGAAAGGCTCAGTGTTCACGCCGTCGTGGGCTTTTTAACAAAAACGTATGTTACTGTAATATTCTGGGTCATTTTTCTATGTTGTATCTCCATATGCGCATACAGCCGTCTCCTCTGAATGCTCAGGATGCATACGTACAGGTGAGTACTAGCATTACAGCGACGTGTTGAGGGGCCTGTGCGTGCGCAGGTACGTATAGAGAGAGAGAGACCTGTATACATCTGTATTTATAGATGTTCAGCTGTGTATGGTATATACACACATAAATATATTTTAAAGCAGGTGCCAAGTGCTAGCTAAATAAAACACTTAGTCATTTTCTAGATTCTTTGCTACATAGGCTGGAAAGGTTTCTTCTTGCTCGTTCAGCAAGAGGTTTGTCATGAGGCACATAAACCCAGCACAGAAGCTACGAAAGGTGCTGCACATCTCGAAATAGGCTGTAGCATGTTCCCAAGTCCCCGGCATGTCACATCGCAGACTGTTCGAGTGAGGGACAGCCCCAAACCAGCCTTCCAGCTGGATCATTTGAATTTCCCAGGTCCGCTCTATGTCTTTGTGGGCCTCCCGTTGTTCCATTTGTCCCCCCAAATACGGGGATTGGTAGCGGCTGCTCTGAGCCGAGCAGTGGCCAGATAACGCATGGAAGGCTTGGGTTTCTCATTAACTCCAGAGCTGATATAGTCCCATCTCTCGGAGCACCAGCCAGTTTTACTGCCTCCATCCCAGCCCTGCTGTGCCTCCTTCCCTGCCCAAGCTCTCGCCTCGCTCCGCAGCCCAGGACAGCGGCCGCTCCCGGGAGGACAGCGGAGGAGCTGCGAGATGGACAAGAAAAGCAAAATGCAGTCGGAGAAGGTAACCGTGGCTCGGTGGTATTTTTGCACTACAATTTCTGCAGGAGCCCAGCACTGAGCAATGGCATTTATTGCTCGCCAAGACCAAAACCAACAAAAAAACTTCCCCTCCCCTAATTAATTGCTCTTTGATGTCTGCATACTGAGTGCAGGGGCAAAGGGGTCAAGGGATTATTTTTTTATTTTTTAAGAGCTCCATCAACTCATCAGATAATTTTAACTGTGATGGAAGGAAATAATACTCGAAACAGCACTGCTGAAAAACACCATTTTGATCACTTTTTCCTAGCTGTTCTGCTTCAGCGGTGGTGCTGCCCGTGCGCTGGCGATGGGGCAGGGCACGTTGCTGCGCTGCGAGCCCCCGGGGCGAGGACGGGCAGCGCAGTAGGGAGAGCTCCGGCACAGATTGCTCTCTGCCCACCCCCAGGGGCTCTCCCTTCTCCTTTGGAGCCAGCCAAAGTGCCTGGGCTGCTGCAGCAGCATCCCTGGGTGCCGCTGTCCTGGGCAGCGGTGTCCCTTGGGACAGGGATGGGGTGCAGCCCCCCGGGTTAGGGCAGGGCTAGGACAGCGAGGTGAGGCTGTCCTCTGCTTCCTCCCCCAGCACCTCACAGGAACGCTGATCCTCTCCGTCTTCACCGCGGTGTTGGGCTTCTTCCAGTATGGCTACAGCCTGGGCGTCATTAACGCCCCCCAGAAGGTAAGCTGAGCCCCCCAAGCCGTGCACGGCCAAGGAACAAGGGCTTCAGGGCAGCCAGGGCTGGCTTGTCCCTTGCAGAAGCCCTCAGGAGGGCTCTGTCCCTTCCCCAGGTGCCATCTCCCACAGTTCAAAGCCCCCACGATAAGGCAGCGGGGTGAGAAAACAGCGAGGACCCCCCGCTGCCACGCCGGCAGTGAAAGGAGCGGGGCTCCACATGTCATGGTGCCGTCCCCACTGCAACACGGTCCCTGTGGCCAGACCGGGGGACGACACCTCTCCGCGGGTGCCAAATCTGGGCGCCGCGCTCACCCTGTCCCCAGGAGCGGCGTTGGACGAGGGGGGATGCTCTGCGGTGCCTCCCCGCTGGAGGGCTGGGTGCTGGGGAGCTGTGGGGGACCCCAAGATTTCACCCCTGCAGAGCCTGTGAAAAGCTTTTCCTGGGGCAGAAAAAAAAACCAAAACAGGGTTTGGGAGTGGTTATAGGTTGAGCTGACGGCGTTTTTCCTCTTTGCCCATCACAGGTGATAGAAGCCCACTACGGGCGCGTGCTGGGCATCGCTCCCCTGGACAGACATGCCACCAACGCCTCCGGGGAGGATGGCACCGTCCCCGTCCCTGGCACAGAGCCCTGGGGTGGCACCGAGGGCACGCTCGCACCCCCGGCCGACACCGGCGAGGACCTCGCCACCTCCCCGCACATCCTCACCATGTACTGGTCCCTCTCCGTCTCCGTGTTCGCCGTCGGCGGCATGGTCTCCTCCTTCACCGTGGGGTGGATCGGCGACCGGCTGGGGCGGTGAGAGGACCTTGTGTGCTGTGACTCGCATGCCACAGCCCGAGCCTTTTTGTTTGATTTTTTCCCCTAGAACCATTTCCTCCCCGTAGAAATACGATTGGCGTTATTTTCCCCAATTTAATGAAAAAAACCCTCAAACCTCCAAAATACTGTTCCAGCCATCACAGAGGTCTGGCTTATTAAAATCCTCAATTACAAATCAGACATTTTATTGCAACTTTCAGCACTTCAGACAAGCAGCTGATGAGCAGCCTTGATTAACTTCCAAATTCCCCCTTGTCTTTCCACGGCAAAAGAGAGAGGAGGGCACCTTGCACAGGATATATAATATACTTTTTGCTACTCTGATTGCACCCCTGCCTGATATTTTTCAGTGCCTAGGATCATTATTTTCTTCCCCGTAGTGCTGAGTCAGTCACTTAATAGCTCTGACTGCATGTCATGATGGCTGCTTTGCCTGAGAACGGTGCCAGAACGAGCTGTGCTGCTGCTGCCTTGCAGGGTGAAAGCCATGCTGGTGGTGAACGTCCTCTCCATCGCGGGGAACCTCCTCATGGGGCTGGCGAAATTCGGGCCGTCTCACATGCTCATCATCGCCGGGAGAGCAATCACGGGGCTGTACTGCGGTAAGTCCACTGCAAACCAGCCCCTGGGTGGGTACTGGCTGCTCCAGGGCTGCAGTTAAGCATTTCCTATATTTTTTAATCTTTTCTTAGTTCAGAAGGGGTTTCACAGGGGGGAGTTTCCCTTTTCTCCCTATGTCTGTCCTCCTCAATCCAGGATCTTTCCCAGAAGCATTTGGGTTGGCTCAATCATGAAATCAGTTTATTTTACATATCCTAGAAAGGAGCGAGTCCCTCCTCTGTATTTCAAGGCTCGATCTCCGTGGTGGCTGTTGTAACAGTGTGCTCTTAGCCATGCAGTTTATCCCGTTCCCCAGACAACAGTACTATCTAGCAGAGAGTACAGGAGCACTGTACATACCATAAGACAGTAGGCAAATAATACGGAATTACATTAGAATTAGCTTAGAATTAACAGCTCCTTATCACTGTTGCTGGTATGCAAATACGATACTCCGCTCTGAAGGTTCAAGGCAAGGTTTAAGAAAGCTCTTTGCTCTGTGATAACTTCTGCCAATGGACGATCTCTGCTCCATGCTCGTATGTAGGTGTCCAAGTGTAAAGGCTTCCCGGCCCGGGGCTCTGGATCTGGGGATATCCGAGCATCCTGCAGGGTGCGGGTGATTCCCAGCCAGGCACAAGGGACTTGGTGGGATGTGGGATGCAGCACATGGGCTCCATCCTCCTTTCCCGTTTGGGAAGCAGTTTCTGCTGGTTGCTGAGCTGTGGTCTAGAAGAGGTGACGCCCATGTGTGCTCGGTGCAGGGCTCTCCTCCGGACTCGTGCCCATGTACGTCAGCGAGGTCTCTCCCACGGCCCTTCGAGGAGCACTGGGGACATTGCACCAGCTTGCTATCGTCACGGGTATCCTCATCAGCCAGGTAAGAAGGAAAGAGCACGAGTCCAGAGAGGGTATTTCAGAGACTAGGGATACCCCGGTGATATGCTGAGGTATAACTCATCATTCCACCCCAAAACTGAAGGAGAGTGGGAAGCAATCTGCTCTAATGGGGCTAAACTCCTACCTTGAGTCAGAGGTGTCCTTAACAAAGATGACTGCCCATGAACTAAAAAGTACTTCTGCAAACAATTTCTGCACTCCCCTGCAAAGTTTTTGTATGCATCTCATCAGAGTCCGGCTGGATCCTGAACATGAGGTCCCTCATATTCAGGTGCGCAAAAATGGCTTCATCAGAGAAGCAGGGAGTCCAACATCCCCATCAGCATTTCCCACCACGGCAGGAGTCCCAGCTACGTGACAGGCTGGCACATAAACGTACCGAGAACCAACACATCCAGAAAAACTTAACGTAACCATAACGTTCATTTAATCTGACTTAGCCAAAGACTATGGGCAGACCATGGGGAAAAACGCCCGCAAGGCAGGTCCTGCCGGCTCCACTGGCTGTGGGAATACAAAAAATGCTTTGCGAATTGTGGAAGGAAAGATGTCGCAAGTACTCACAACCCTTCTGGAGCACCTTTTTCAGTGCCACAATCACACACTGAAGCAAAGCTCAGGTTAGCCTATTTGCTGAGCCTTACGCTGCGCTGCAGCCCCGGTGCTCGGGCTCTGCTGGTTAGCGGCCGGGCAGCTGGGGCATCCCACGCTGCGTGAGCCTCCAGCCAAGCTCTGCACCTTTGTGGAGTTGCTTAGGACATATATGCCCATAAAAACCATACCCTAAAAAAAGAGGAGAGCAAGGTCTGAAGTGGAAACATTTCATCAGCATGCCTGTATTTGCTGAGCTGTTTATGCAGCGGTTCTGGCCAGGCACAGGTCTCCTGTTGGTGGCACGTCCCAAGGAAGATCGAGTCAACCCGGGGTGGGGAACAGGCTTGCAGTGGTTTGTCTCACAGCACCTGTAAGCCAAAGTCATGCTCATGACATTTAAGCCATCTGTTCATTCCCTCCTTGCAAATGTGCATCACAACTAACGAAATCAAATTGTTAGGACTGAGAATTGGTATTTGCTTCTAGTTTTCCTCCATGCTTCGAAATGCCATAGTGGTCAATCGCTTTCTTTTTCCAGGGTGCAAAATAAGCCATTCAAACATGCCTCAATTCTTCCAGGTCCTCGGACTAGATTTTCTCCTGGGCAACGACGAGCTGTGGCCCCTGCTCCTTGGTCTGTCCGGTGTGGCTGCCCTCCTGCAGTTCTTCCTGCTCTTACTGTGCCCCGAGAGCCCCCGATACCTTTACATCAAACTGGGGAAGGTGGAGGAAGCTAAAAAAAGTAAGACACACGTTCTGGGCTTGTCTGGAGTTGTTTTTATACTACACAGAGCATTAAACACAGAAGGAAAAGCCCAGCTGAGGGCTCACACGTGTAACTGGGTATAGTTGCTCCGTCCCACGCAGCACGTTTGCAGGAGGGATTTCGGACACCTGCATACAGCCACTGCCTAAGGCACGCTCGCCTCTGTCGCTGCGGGTGGTGTGAACATTAGCATGTTACTCCTTTCCATCAGAGAGATGGCATCTAGCAGACGCCACCCCCGCAAAAGCCCCGTTCAGTTGGACGGCTTTTCAACCAGGTCTAAAAATGACATCTTCTGGGGGACAGCTGATCTCTCTAGCCTTGGTGCTATTTTCAACCACACAGCAAATCCACAGCAGTTACCGCAACTGCATATACATCTTCCAGCGTGGCCCTCCTTAGCTGGTTCCAGCCATCTCCACGCGGAGTAGGAGCAGCCAATGGTAGGACATAGCTGAAACTGAGGTGAGAACCCAGGATTGAGTAGAACAGAGCATGTCCATGTGCCTGGGGGCAGAGATGCATGCCCGTGCCCTGAGCTGCCGAAGTATAAATTAGCTCTGGACCAGAAACTATTGAGATATGTTTGCATGGGACTAATAAGCATTGCTGAGGGATGAGGCTTGAGCGTGGTGTCCCAGAGCTTTCGCAGAACTAATGTGCTGCTGCCCCTTGCCAAGCAGACACACCTTTGATCCTTGGTGTGCCACAGGAGTCCTCAGAGCAAGAGGACACTACTGTCCATGTGGCTGGCTTACCCTGAGTTTTGGCTAGAGAGATTCTTGTCCTTCCTCTCCTCCTTATCTACCGTTGAAAATAAAATGTCGATCTTTTTTTTTCTTAAGGTTTGAAGAGGCTCAGAGGAAACTGTGACCCAATGAAAGAGATTGCTGAGATGGAAAAGGAAAAGCAAGAAGCTGCTAGTGAAAAGAAAGTCTCCATAAGGCAGCTTTTCACCTCTTTGAAGTACAGGCAGGCTGTCATCGTGGCGCTGATGGTGCAGATATCTCAGCAGTTCTCAGGAATCAATGCGGTGAGTCTCCAAAAACATTTGCCCTTGAAGAAATCCATGCTGAGCGTGAAAAGGCAATGCTGGCTCCGTCCAAGCCATGTAGGGGTGAAGAGGAGGCTTTCCCGTGACTGCAGTAGGCTCCTTGGCCACCACCATCAGTGTTGAAGGTGGACCTCACCGCCGAGCCGGGCTGCGGGAAGGCAGGGGGGGAGAAGGGTGCGAGGGAGTTCAGCATGAAACCAGCTGGCACGGCAAGTCCACACGGAGTTCTCCCGTCACCCTCCTCATACCTGAGTTCATCAGCAGTTTGCTCTCTTTAATGACCTCCCGCTCACCCCAGGAACCACATAATCACCATCTTTTACCTATTTTTAGCTAAACAGCTTTTGCAGCACCTCCTGGCATACCAGAAATTAGCATTTTCTATCTAGAAGCATGGAGCCTCGTTTTCAAAAGTGGCTAAGACTCAAATTTTTGAAAGTCTGGTGGGAACTTTACAAAGGTTGAGGCCTCTGTCCCACCGTTTTTCAAAACTCTAGGAGCATTTCCGCATCGCAAGGCGGAGCGGCATGCAGGGGTGCCCAGCCTCGCGGGGCTGAGCCGGGGATGAGCGGCCCCACAGAGCCCGGCTGCCCCAGCTTGATGCTGTGCCCAGCCCCATCCACCAGCCGTGGGCTCAGCCACCCATTGACCTCCTGCCCTTAACTTCCATGAGACAGAAATCAGCTTATTCTTTGAGAGAAGGGAGAAATTCGAGTCATTTCAATGTAGCGAGACTATTTTAAAATTCATTTAAAACTCAGTCATTTGAGTTCATATTTGTCTCCAGCTCTTGGTGCTGGTGATCTGGCTTTCAAGATTAAGCATGGGACTACACGGATGAAAACAGTTTTAAATGTGCAAATGCAGTAGCTCAGGAGGGGAACTGCAATGCAATTTTTAACTCCCTCAGGCTCCTTTGAAAGTTTCAGCTTTAATTATTATAACAAGCCATTAAAAAGTTGAAAAACTAATCATAATTAAACTGCTGCACATCTCAGCCAAGCAAGAGCAACTCTTCCCTCAAGAGAACAAAAAGTTCCACCAGCCCTGTTGCCTAATCCTTCTTCCTAATGTATTTTGATAGATCTTTTACTACTCTACAAACATTTTCGAGAGAGCTGGAGTTGACCAACCAGTTTACGCAACCATTGGCGTTGGAGTGGTGAACACAGTCTTCACAGTTATCTCCGTAAGTAAATACTTCTGTCCCCCCAGACTACAAAAACAAGCAAGCCACAACGTGGTTTTGAAACATGATTTTATCCTAGAGCTGGGGCTGACCCTGCACACCTTACTCATGGGAAAAATCATTCCCTGGGCAAGTCTCGTTTGAAAAATCAAGCCTTGAAATACAACCCGTTGCTATCAAAGAGCACTGCTAAATGCCTCATGAGTGAAAACTGCACCACCGCGTTCAGGGAAGCTCTGGTAGCTCAGCATCTCCCCCAAAATAAAAGTTGCCTTCGAGACTGAAATTCTGCAGGTCCTGTTCTCCTGAGGGAGCAGGCAGGGGACCGGGGTTGCGATGGGGAAGCCAGCAGCTCACAATCTCCCTCTTGCCTGTTATCTTTCAAATTGTTTTATGTATGTACATAGCACCTGCATGAGTGATATCCAAAGGCTGTTCCATGGTAATAAAAGTAATCTAGCACCTACCCTCCTCGTATCTATGCAGAGCGCCGTAGCAATAAAAAGGTGGATCTGTTTTCACAGCCTTTCCCTCCGTTCGTCTCTCTCCTGAGAGTATTAACACAGTTCCAATCAGCGGGCAATTATTTTTTTGTAATGTGGCCATTAATATAAGAAGATCAGGAAATGCCAAGCCCATTTTCCTCACGTCTCTAGAGAGACTTAGGGAGCAAAGGACTTTTGCCCACCACGAAGCAGGACTAGCACGGTAGAAATACACAGCTCTAAGAGATCTTAGTCCAGCATACATGAGAGAGGAGGTCTTGGGGTGAACCTGCTTTAGAGGAAGTCCATCACAGATCCCATACAGAGGAGAAACCATGATGTTTATTGTGAAACGAGGCACGGAGGTGTGTGGCTAGAAGAGGTCTTTCTCCAGCTTGGAGGGTCTCTGGCAGTTCAATCTCTGCCCCAGGGCTGTGGTACTTGCAGCCTGGAGCATTTGCTCTTTGCTTCTTTTGGCCATGAGCACTTAAAAATTACCTGCATTGGTCAATAAATGACAGACTCAGATCGAAAGGCAGAAGCACTGACAGACGGATGGACCTTGGCAAGGGGAGAAGGGAGCGCAGAGGCTCACCCTCTGCAGCTTCACGAGTTAGCAGGATGAACTGCCTCCAGCAAAAGAGATGGTCTCCTGGAAGCATAAATCATTTGCTGGAATGGCAGGAAAGGCTGAGCTGATGGCCAAAGGTGTCCTTTCAAGCAGAGGGGAAGGAGCAGGCAGCCTCAGAGGCTAGCGCGTGGTATCTTTGGGCAGGCCAGATGCACTGTCCTCTGGAGTTACCTACATCTCCCCATGGTTGAAGGGATTAGTACAGACTTAGATCTTGAAAGCTGGGTGAGATGACTGGAGTCCACCAAGAGGAGTTGGGAAGGAGCAAGCTAAGCCTTGGGGCTATCGGGAAGCAAAAGGAATCTGGGAGTCATTGAAGGAAAAATCCTGGCTCCAGCTGCTACACAACCATCCCTGCCCTAGGACAGGCAAGGTGATGTGACTTGAATCGTGCTACATTTTGAAGGCTACTTCCAAACTAATGCAAACCTAGTAAGTTTGTTCTTCCTGAAAAAAAGAAAGAGAGAAAAAAAGTCCATAGTCAGCAATAAATGTGTAGGAGTGGTGGGAAGTCCTGAGAGCTTAGAAGCACATGAGCTCAAACATGGGTTTGCCTTGCCCTTGCAGGGCAACTGTTCAGTCTGGCTCCCTAACAGCCACCGGCAGAGTTTCTGACACTTGCAAACCTGCACATAAATCTCTACCACGAGAGCTAAAAGGGCGGGAGTGCGGTGTGGTAGCGGTAACAGGCTGCTCATTGCTAACAGACCTGATCGAACCTCCTGAGAGTGGCGGTGCTGGAGACTGAGCTGCTGCACATGTTTCTGCAGGTCTTTCTGGTGGAGAAGGCAGGCAGGCGGTCCCTGTTCCTGGCTGGTTTGATGGGCATGTTAATAAGCGCCGTGGCCATGACGGTTGGACTTGCGCTCCTGGTAAGGATTTCTCTCCATTTTTTCTCCATGGTTTGCAAACAAGAGAAGACAAACCACCTTTTAAAGTGAATTCTTCGCATTTTCATCTCAAAGAAGTTCAGAAAACATTTGTCCTTAGAAGGGACAGTTCACAGTGGCCATAGCTGGAGCCGTCTCTGGTTACAGCAGTGCCTGAGGATGTTGCGCTCTTTGGCCCCTGAGATACCCCAATGCTGCTAGAAAGGACGGCTGTCCCCTGTCGCCTGTCCCCTCCCTGAGCCCGCTGACAACCTCGGCTCCTTACACAACAATCCCACAGCTGTGGGATGCTATTCCCACAGCATCATACTATGGCTGCTAAGAAAACCCAGGCCATATCTCCACGTGCAAGCACTGTGTGCTCTAAACCCTCAACCTGCGTCTCCGTGGCTTGGTGAAGGGATGCTAGACTAGCATCTTGTCATAGAAAAAGGGACAAATTGTTCCTCCCAACACCCAGGAGAGGGGTCAGGCTGTGAGACATGGGGCAGAACAGGCAGAGGATGGAGCCAGCCCCCATCAAAGTCAGTCCAAACCACTGGTGCAAGCTCCTGTCAAGATGTAAAACCAAATACAGGGTGCCCCCCTTTACTGAACACCCTGGTTATTAAAGACAACACCATTTTGCCTCTTCCTGGCCAGGCTGCAGGCAAGGAGAGGGCTCGAAGGTACAGCTGAGCTGATAGCTGCGAGTGCCAACATCCCTCTGCAAGCGGCAACACTGGCACCACAGGCCCAGCCAGCACCTGGCACAAGAGTTTAGAGCTCTAATTATGTGTGTCCAGTCCCCACTTGTCTGAATAGAAAGAAATTTCTGAAAAAGAAGCCTAATTAAAATAATTAGTGATAATTAATGAGAGTCATGTTGAGACTGTAACACTGAGCGCACCCTCTTGCAGAGCCAGTTTGCCTGGATGAGCTATGTCAGCATGGTCGCGATCTTCCTCTTCGTCATCTTCTTTGAAGTTGGGCCCGGGCCCATCCCCTGGTTCATCGTAGCCGAACTGTTCAGCCAAGGCCCGCGCCCCGCCGCCATCGCCGTCGCCGGCTTCTGCAACTGGGCCTGCAACTTCATCGTGGGAATGTGTTTCCAGTACATAGCGGTAAGAAGTCCCTCTAAAACCGTACAAATAAATGACTGGCACGACTCCACTGCTGGGCTTCCGAAGCAGCTCAGCGGGACGTGCACGTGCCTCCCAGATCTCCATCTCTAAGCCCTGCAGGGCACCCCAGCCACCCAGGGTAGGAAGGGGGAGACATCACTGCGGTGCTGATGGTGGTGTCCCCTCTTCTCACTTCCCCCACTGCAGGATCTGTGTGGACCGTACGTGTTTGTGATCTTCGCGGCTCTGCTTCTCGTCTTCTTTCTGTTTGCGTACCTCAAAGTACCGGAGACAAAAGGAAAGTCCTTTGAGGAGATCGCAGCTGTGTTCCGCCGCAAGAAGTTCCTGGCCAAAGCCATGACTGAGCTGGAAGACCTGCAAGGCAGCGAGAAGGCATAGACATGGCCACACACCCAGAAAGAAGGGACTGAGCATAGACCTCCTTCAGGCGCTGTGGGAAGAACATTGGGCAAAAGTCTCATTTCACACAAACCTTGCAGCTGGCAGACGGGGAGGACCCATCCACTGGGTGCCTTCTGGCTGCTGTGGCTCACACCTCCGAGCTGCAGGTGCTAACCTGTCATTTTACTCTGAAATACTTGGTACAACTGGGCTGCCGGGAGAGCCAGGGAAAGGATGGGAGGAATATGTTACATGTGTGTCTCCATGCCGCACTGGAAGAGCCCGGTGGGACGATGATCTTACTAGCTGGCAAAGCGTTACATGGAGCAGGGTCATCACTCAGCTGGAATGAAGGAAAGAGGGGTCGGCTGATGGTGTAGCCTCATGTTTTCACCTTTTTGTCCCATGCTTGCTGCTTCCTTCTGCCTTGAGAAACCAACTGCTAGTGCAGCTGTGCCACCAACACACAGCACTGATCGCCCGAGGTGCTACGGAAAACAGACTGGGCAAACTCCCCCTTCCTATTGCCTGTGCAGAGGAAGAAGGTGGATCCCACCTGAATCGGTTGAGACGCACCTCGCTTGCTTTGCTATCCGTGTGTTATGGAAATGCTGTCCAATCTCATAAGGATTTCTCAAGTCACAACATTTTTTAGGAGAATCTTAGAAACTCTGGCTGGGCTGATGTGTTTTGTTTTTTTTTTTTTTCTTGTGTTTCAGCCAGGCTATTTACCTCCTCTTTCCTCCTAGGAAGCCTTTCCTCCCTCCTTTATCCCTGCTGCACCACAAGACACGGCACATCATTGACCACACAACGGGCCCGGGCACTCCTGGCCCCCAGGTCAGGAGACTCGAGTCCTGCTGCCATCCCTCCCATGGTGCGACCATTGCTGGGTCACCTCCCCTCGCTGCCCCACCTTCCCCACCCTCTGTGTTCACCTTCCATTCCTTTCGTACAGTGCTTAGACCCACAGGCTCCAGCTTCAGCCAAGGCCTCAGGCTGCCCGTACCGTAACAAGTAATGGCAACCCAAAGGGGAAATGGGTATTGCAGCAGTAACTGGAAGGTGCCCCACTGATCTGACCCTCACTTTGCACCACTTACGGTTTTGCTGGCTGAATGTGCTTCAGCCAAGGTAGTGTGCAAGCAGGAGGTTGCGTTCTGTTGTTTGTGCCCGTTTTGCTTCTTTAGGAGATACTTTTATGCGACAAAATCAAACTGCAAGGGTTTTTCTTCCTTTTTGGGGGGATATGTTGGAATCATTGTAAAAACCTGCTCTCTCTTTGCTTGACTTTTAAGATTTGCATGTTCCTTGTTGTGATACCAGGTTATTTTCTAGCAACTTTCTCAGGATAGAAACCCATTATTTATTTAGAGATGAAACACCAGCATTGCTTGGTCACTGTGAGCTCATCACAGCCGAAGCAGTGACCATAATGTAACAGAGGATCAAGCATAATGAAAAGCATGAGAATACATGGGCCAAGGAGGATCATGGGCTGCTGACATGGGTTTGGTTTTAGGGAAGGTTCATGCTCCTTTCCATGTACCTGAACTTCTTTCCTTTGTAGACTTTAGTCTCTTGGTATTAAGACCCTAAAGCAAATTCTGGTCCCTTCCAAGTGACTGGAAGTGTAGCCACGAGGTCCACTGGGACAAGCGTCTGGCCCCGGTATGTGCACTGAAGCAACATGATTGCACCAAAGGCTTTCCTGGACTGACTGCTGGGATTTAACCAGAGGAGAACTGGGTCAATGCTGTTGTGCTACAGCGGTGGGGGACCTGGGACAGACATGGGGCGTGTGGGAACCAGGGTTGTTGCGGTGCACAGAAGAGAGCAGCAGAGCTGGGGCGCAGGCTCTGGGTTTGTCAGTCTGTCTGCTGCAAACAGGTCTCCCCAGGTGAAACTAGCTGAGACGGCAGGCTCAGAAGATCGCCATGGTGTCTACTGCAGTTAGTTAAATATTATAATGGGTCTTCTGAATGTAAAAAAAGAGAAAAAAAAGAGATGGGTTCTTGCTTTCAGCAATGTGATCTATGTCTGCTACATAAAAGTGACAAAGAACAACATCTACGGCATGTGTTGGCTTGCGCTGTTCTGTTTTTTTCCCCTCTGTACATCTCAGACGTATGTCCAGCTCCAGACGGGAGGTATTTTCCTGGCAGGACACATTTGCTCCATGGGTGGTAATTGCAAGCCCTCAGCTAAATCCCTTTGAAATGGATGTTCCAGAGATGAGACTTCGGGGTTGGGAGGCAGCCCTGGGGCTGGTGGGAGCTGGCTCTGCGCTGGGATGAACCCTCACTGGAGGCGTGCCGGCATCTAACCCCAGCCGTCCCCACCGCCCGCCTGTAAAAGCCCATGTAAAGAGCACCTCTGCTTGCACAGACGCTGCTGCAGCTTAAAACTTGGTGCTGGGGCCTCTCTAGGCACGATAGGCAGGAGGAGCTTTCAGGGAGAGATGGGGTTCAAAGCAGATTTGCCCCTGCTCTGAGGGCAGAGCCAGGCTGGGTTCCCTCCTGGAACGGGAGGGTGGGACAGCAGAGGCTGGGTGGCTGGGAGGGTGCTGGCACCGGTCCTTGTGAGCCGGCTAGTCTGTACAAACACAACGGCTCGAGCTACGGCTGCACAACAGCCGTACTGGTGGTTTAACACGAGAAAGGCTGTCCAAAACTGGTCGCTAAACTTCTGCTGAGCTTTGTCCTAATGCCTGAGGGGCATCAGTCAGTGACACTGCCAGTAACTCAGCAGTGAGGGGTCATTTATTCAGCAACACTGAGCAGCCGGTCTTTGTTTTCCTGTGTGTTACTGGGTGAATGATAACAGAAAGCCCGATCCAATTGCTGTAGCGCAGCACCTACGTTATTTTAACAAAGCCCACAACATTAACATTACCCATAGCTGTATCCCTGAAGACCTGCCTGGGGATTCAGAGGCGCTTAAGTAAAATCGGTCGGTGCCGAATTTCAGGTTGTGCTTCCTCGCAGCAGCTGCTGCGTATAAGGGAGGTCAGTCTTCTCCTTCCAGGCTGGGACCTCCCATTGGGGACCCTCTCTGACCTTCTTGAGCCACAACTGGACAACACGCCCTCATGCATTTTACTACTGTAATTTCATTTCTTTGTATATTCCCCTGGAGATGATGCTTTGCTCATCCTGGGATGTTTCACCTCGATTCTGCTAACGGTTGCAGCGGGGCGGGCTGCAGCCTGGGACAGGGCGTGCGGAGCTCGGCGCTGCTGAAGGCTGCGGCAACCCTTGTCCTCACCAGGGCTGCAGTGACCGATTAAGCCGATACGCTGGGCTGAACTATCACAAGTGCACTTTTACCATGTGTGACGACACAGGAGGGGGAGTCATACGAGTTGGTTACATCTGCAGATGTGTTTACTTTTGTGTTGTCGCATCAGGCGGGTAATTAAGACTGCGCACTTTATCTGTCCTTGCTACAGGCAAGTTCCAGTTGAAACCTGTTCTTGAGACAGATTGTTGAATCATTGTTTTTATCTCTCAGCGTTACAGTTTTACCAAGTTGCTAATCATTAAGAAAATTTAAAAGACCGGGTCATATTTATTAGCTAAATGGTCATTGCACTTTAGTTAACATGCGAAATAATCCCATCCCATACTGTGGCTGGCTAATAATGCAATATAATTAATAATGCCTGAGAAAGCATCTTGTCAGCAAGAGCTTTGAGAGTGTTTTCCTAATGTGCTGAGATGACAGCCATTAAGACTTTGCTGGTGTGTCAGATAAATGGCTAACATTATCTAGTTTCCCACTCTCTAGGCATAATTTTAAAATTAGTTTGACTTCCCTAATCCAATAAACTCAGGATGTTTGGCCCCATTAACACTTTCCACGCTAATTTATCACAGATTTTTCTGCCTCACTTCAACTTGTTGTTCATCACTGAGAAGCACTACCCTCCATCTCCCGAGTCAAACAGCTGATGGGGACGAAGCTGAAGCGAGTACCACATCTGCAGGGGCCAGGCCTTTGAGGTACAATTTTCCGACGTGCTCAATGTCCTTATCTTTCACTGAGATCTATGAGACCTGAGGAATTACAAGGCAGGACATCATGTCTGGATCCAGCAGCACACGTAACCGTGAGATTTAATCTAACTGAGCCTACGCTCAAGTGTTTCACTAAATCCTGAAGCAACGCTGGCAAATTTTACCCAGAGGTGCAGCCTGAATAGCTGTGCTGAAAGGGAAGGAATCTCCTCCCCAGCAGGGTGGCGATCAATCCTGGCTGTAGACGAGCGGCCCTTAAATGTTACAGGCTGTAGATACAACTGCAGACCCGAGGCTTGGGCAGCGCCTGGCGGTTTTGCCCCCCTGTATTCTGTTCAGGACAGCGAGCGGCTCTCGTGACTACGAAAAGCACCAGGGCCCGCCGGTCATGGGTAGGATGTTGCTGGTTTAGCACTGTCGCAGCCCCGGGGAGGAGGGAACAGACGGAGTTACTACCTGCTTTCCCTCTTCCTAGTGGGAGTCACCGGTGGTCCCCGCTAGCTCAATGTCCCTGCACTGTCACCGCTTGCCTCTGACCTCCAGCCTGTGCCCAGGGCAATTCCCTGGGTAATTCAGACAGCGCGGATGTCTGCGCACACCTCATCCGACCACGTCTGTCCGGCTGGGCGGTTGTGTGGACCACCTGAAACATAAGGGTGACCACGGAGCAGGCAGAGGCAGTACTGCGGTGGTTTTTTAAGCGTCCCAGGGCACGCAGCCCCTAATAATTGTAGGAAGCATCCCAGAATCCCATTCTCAAGGCCGATGCAAATGCAAGGTGAGTCACTGGCACTGCATTCGTTCTTCCTAGGAAGCAAAAGGTGAATGGCAGGATTAAAGCGGTGCCTGGAGCAGAGCGCGGTGCCTCCGGCAAAGTCGCTGCAGAGGTTCTTTAATTGGGTTCACGCTACACGGAGAGATTGTACGTAGGAGCTCAGAGGGTCTGCCGAGCACGGCACTGTCCCGTGGAGGTGGGGATCACCGGTCCCCAGCCTCTCTCGTGCCCTCCTGCTCGAGGCTGCGCCCAGAAGCCGGCGTGAACCCTCACCCCAGCAGTCAGGACGCGTTGGTGGGATCCCAGGTAAGACAGCTCAGCAGTTGAGAGACGCTTGCTCAAGTTGGAGTAGGGCTGTTCACACTGCTTTGCTCATGACCTGTTATTTCTAATCTTGTGACCTTGCTGAATGAGCCTCCCTCTGCTTTCGTCCTTTCGTGCCTTCCCTCTGCCCCATCCTGAGGGACAGGATGGCATCCAGAGGGACCTGGGCAGGCTGGAGAGGTGGGCCTGTGTGAACCTCATGGGGTTCAACAAGGACAAGTGCAGGGTCCTGCACCTGGGTCGGGGCAGCCCTCGGTATCAGTACAGGCGGGGGGATGAAGGGATGGAGAGCAGCCCTGAGGAGAAGGACTTGGGGTACTGACAGACGAAAAGCCGGACATGACCCAGCAATGTGCTCTTGCAGCCCAGAAAGCCAAGCGTCTCCTGGGCTGCCTCACCCGCAGCACGGGCAGCGGGGCGAGGGAGGGGATTCTGCCCCTCTGCTCCGCTCTGGGGAGACCCCCCTGGAGCCCTGCGTCCAGCTCAGGGGTCCTCAGCACGGGAAGGACATGGAGCTGTTGGAGCAGGGCCAGAGGAGGCCACCGAAATGCTCAGAGGGACGGAGCACCTCTGCTGTGAGGACAGGCTGAGAGCTGGGGGTGTTCAGCCTGGAGAGGAGGAGGCTGCGGGGAGACCCGATTGCGGCCTTGCAGTGCTTAAAGGGGGCCTACAAGAAAGACGGGGACAGGCTTTTTAGCAGGGCCAATAGCGATAGGACAAGGGGGGATGGTTTTAAACTAAAAGAGGGGAGATTCAGACTGGATATAAGGAAGAAATTTTTTACAATGAGGGTGGTGAAGCGCTGGCAGGGGTTGCCCAGAGAGGTGGGAGATGCCCCATCCTCGGAAACATTGAAGGCCAGGCTGGATGGGGCTGGGAGCACCCTGATCTGGTTGAGCTGTCCCTGCCCATGGCAGGGGGACGGACTGGATGGCCTGGAAAGGTCCCTCCCATCCCAAAGCGTTCTGTGATTCTATGCTTTCCCATGGTGCTCTCCCAGCGCTGAGGGGAGCAAGGCTGGGTAAACTGCTCCCCGCTGCTCTGCGACGGGCCCTCCCTCAGCTAGCCCACAGGGCTTTCCTCCAGCACCCTCCTCCGTCCCCCGAGCCGCCAGGCCACCACCCCTGGATCTCCCAGCACGTGGCTGCCCTCCTTGATGTTCCTCAGAGAGCTTGCTCCCAGAAGCTAGCGATGCGGCAGGCAAGCGGCTGGAGCTTGATAGCGTACGGAGTCTACTGGAAAGAAAAGATGTGTGTGTGATCCAGCTGTGCAACACTCTACACGCATGCACAAAAGGAAATACATTTAACCGTGAAAGGCCGTGGTGTTTACAAATATGCTTTGAAATCGAATTGCTATTGTTGTATAGAGAAGTGGGATAATTTAGAAAATTTTAGAAAATAAACGTTGATCCAGACAAAGGAACGACGCCTGCAAGCAATGATTGATGGAGCAGAGTTCCAATTTTTTTAATTGAATCTCTGATAAAGGCTGCCTTGGAATATTTATTTTGTGTCTCAAAAATAAATATCATCTACAGCTGCACTTCGGCAAAAAGACTTGGTTTAGTACAGAAGATCTCTCAAGTCATCCAAAATAAGTCTGTTAATTGTGGAAAATCAACCAAATTTGTAATCTGATACTTGAGGAAAGAAATTATCATTAGCGCTTAGCCCCAGGCTGCCCTGGTTTGGGCTCCGAACAGTTGGTAGTTCTCTCACAAAGTATTTTATTAAAAGAAAAAAAGCCCTAGAGCACGTGCAACTAGGCATACACTTGCAGGTAAACAAACACACACTGCACATGTAAAAACACTTAACAGAATGCCCCAGACCCTGCTTATCAACTGACACAGAAGGAAAATGGGCTGTTCCCCAGGGTAACGCGTATCATCTCCAGAGCGGGCTGGGTGAGGTGGCATCCACCAAAACCCCGGTAACACGAGAGCCACCATCTTGACCCGCTGGAGCATTATAAAGGGGCCCCGTGTAAATGAAAGCCAAACCTACGTCCTTGGGTACAGGCTGTACAATTTGGAGTGGGATCTGTGTAACCAAGGGCAGGACCACAGGCAAACAGATCACACAGATTAACGTGAATTAAATAAAAGATCCCTTAGAAACCATTTAAAAATGTGGCTTTAAAACCAGCTCCTGTAGCCACCCCATTACAACCGAGACAATAAACTCGGGGCAGGAAACACAGGACGGCACACGGCAGCCCCCGGCGCTGATGGCAGAGGCCAGCTCTGACAGCGCTGCCGCACATGCCTCCGAATTTCTGCGTTTTTCTGTTTGTCTGGTGTTTAAGGTAGGCGATCGGCGCGGCGCCGGGCCCCATCCACTGGCAGCTCCACAGAATGGTCTTTGGGTGAATTCGGTCAAGCAGGTGAAGGTATTATGCCATCGGACTCGGGGAGTTTTAACAAAAATACCCATTTGGGCTCATTTTGCTCGGGGTCCACCTGCCTGGGCTGGCGGCTGCGCTCCCCCCGCCGCCAGCCCTCTCCTCAGGCAGCGCGGGGGGCTGCCGGTGGCTAAGGAGGGCCGCGCCGCCAGCGATGCGGGTGTGGGGTAGGGCACGGAGCCAGCTAAATCTCATGTCCGTTCATGAATCCAAGCTTTCACCATGGCTTCCAGGCAGCTTCAGGCCCTTTTGACTGATTACTGTGCACTTGCAAAACGCTCTTGCTTCTGATTATTCTGACAGGGGAAACGTTAAGCGGACACACGAGCTGTGTGTTGACAGTTAACCACATCTCACAGGGAAGCCGCATCCCGCCAGGCCTTGGGGACACCCATTTCTTTTCCGATTCGTTGAAAAAGAAAAAAAAAAAGTGTTTTTTCGGCCGGGAAGCCGGCTGACCGCCCTCCTCAGGGGGCGGCCGGCAGAGGCGCCAAGATGGCGGCGGGGGGGGGGGGGGGGGGGGGCCCGGGGGGCAACGGGGGCG